ACGCTCCTCCAATGCAGCCACCTCGTAGACGGACCATGGCGGGACTCGCTGGACGCTTCATGAATGCAGCCACCTCGTAGACGGACCATGGCGGAACTCTCTGGCACCAATGATTGATCGGAGTCGCTGAAGTGTAGATGTGGCCCTCTTCTCCTTGTAGTTGTCAGTGGAAGCTCTATTGAGAATCGCCATATTGAGTTCTGTTAACAGAAAGAAAAACGGATTAATGAGTTTTCCTACCTATGTCAGTCCTCTGCTTCCTGGACCTGTAATAAGAAGAAACCTGGAATGCATAGAAATATACATGCAACGACACTACAATAATAACCCACAACAGAAGAAGGCGACGAAGTTTCCTGCGAAGATTCCTGGGCGACGATTCCTCGTGGATAGAAGCGAAGACTTTAGCTGGCCAGCTTAGAGAAACGTCGAATCCACTGTCCAGACGTCTGCGTGTGCAAGAATCGACATGTCGATGAGCGATACGTTGACTGGAAAAGATTCGGAAAAATGTGAGTCGACTCCTTTGTCCTTTTGCTTGATACGGGGCGCAGTACACGGCATCCTTCTTGTTGCTCCTGATCTGTCTGCGTTGAATGAACACAATTTCAAAATTTCGCGCTTTTATACCTTCAGTGATAGAAAGTCACATGGTGGCGTTCCTGGTCAACGTCTTCATAGGGGGTGGCGTTTGATAGTGATCCCCATACTTGATTATAAAATCTTTTTAACATACATATTTTATTAACTAATGTTTATTTGATTATTCTGTTTATTATCTTATTTTATAATAAGAGTAATAAGCACTAAGCATTGATTTCCAAATCAAATGGCCAAATTTTATAACAATTTCTTAGCAACATACCTTCTCCCCAAAATTATGATAGGCCCGATGTCCGTTAAACTGGTACGGGTAGCCGCGAACTACTCACATCTCGAAGGCCACTATAGATAATAGGGTGTAGGGTGACTGCAGTTTCGAGGCAGCCTGAGGGAGCATGATTGTTTTGTTAGTAATGTACTGTAGTGAGTCAGTTGAAAGTACACTGGACTTAGCATATACAGCCACCTCAGTACTGTCAAACATATTTTGTAACCAACTGAGTTGTTATTCTGATAAATGAAAAGCAAGTTTGTGTGATTTTACGAAACGAAAGAAAGAAATATGAAAAATAATATGAATGAAAATCATATGAATGTCATATGAAAAATCCTGATAAGCTTATACCAGGCAGCAGATACAAATGAATAGTTTTGCATATACTACTGCTATAGGTAATAATAAACAACGGACGCCTTTATTCATGGCTTTGGGTTATCAGTACTCTAATGTCAGAGTAGAGAGAAAAAAGGAAAAAATAATGAATAAGACAATTAAATTAGAAATGAAATTAAATATTTCTCATTCATACGTTTACTTTATCTCCTCAAACCTTAGTTGAAAACTGCACTTTTTAATATGCGTTTTAACATTGTAATAAGTCTGAGTGGCCACTGGCCTTCTTTTACATTTCCCTGGCGGTCACACAATCGAACACTAGAGCTTACAAGCTAATTGCTCATTATCAATGTTTTCATGGCCAGGCACGTAACAGCTCCATTTGTGTTTTTTTTTTTAAAGTGAGGTGGTCGACACTGCATGCAATTCGAACTCGGGACTTGCTTCGCATGCCACGAGAACTCTCCCTATTTCTCAATTTATAGGTCCATTTAGCGTTTAAAAAATTTTATTTTAAGAATTAACGAGAGAAAATATGTTTGTTCAAGTGGAATTTTACTTACATCAGTCTTACAACTTTTAAAAATCACTGCAAAATAAATAAATAACTTCACCTGTTATGACCAAAAAAAAAAAATAATAAATAAATAAATAAATAAAACAAACGGACTAGAATTTAAACTATTTAACTGTTGCTCGCAGCGCCACCTCACTCTCTCCAATCTAATGTACAAATCAAGAAGCGAGTATGATGTTTCAGAAAATGCCTATGTTTATGTTTAATTTAAATAACACAATGAATAGATCGCCGCTACGTTCGCGGTGTCACCTGGCTTTTAAAAGTTGTAAAAAATAAATAAATAAATAAATAAATAAATAAATAAATAAATAAATAAATAAAACAAAAAAGCGTGCGGTCTTTTGCCGCAGGTCATTATTTTTAGTTGTTTGATTTTTTTGTAATGTTTCAGCCATTTAAAGAATACTAATACGATATGATGACAGGACACAGTTATTCTTCTAGACGAAACTGCATTGTCATAGACAGTAATTTGCAAAACCCTCTTTAACAGGCATTATGAAAAATATACTTGAAGTTGAGGACAAAATGTACCAGTAAAATAAATATGCATCTCGTTACCCCTTTTGTTAGTGTGACTAACGTACGAATATTATCCGAAGTGGTTGTTTTTTAAACCTTCTTTACTGAATACGAAAACTTTCCATACTAGCAAGGAATGAATCGGAAATCCCTTGCGTTATTACACAAAAATATCAATTTATCACTTTTTGTCACAATAAGTTTAGAAAAAGAAGAATTCTCGACCCCCCCCCCATATTACCGTTACTCGACAATCCCGGTAGAAGCACATTTCATAATATAACGTCACTGTCAATGTTTAGGTAGTTGTACACCACACAATTTACTGATGTGCTTTACATCACTCCCTTAAACCCCTCCTTAATTTCGATTTCAGATAGTTATTCAGTAACAGACAAAACTACCGGTATGTCAAGGCATATCTGCGACAGGCAAAACAATGCTCAATACTTGCCTAGATACAGAATTTCTGAAACTTAACAACGTGGGCCCCGTAACTAGACAGCATCGCGTAACTGCCACGGAGCGCAAGCGCCTCATTTCCATGACTCGCTCTTACTCACCCCATAATATGGGGGTTATGGAATCGAGACTCTTGAGCTCGGTCGCAATACGCGATGCTTTCGAGTTACGGGACCCTGACCGTTAGCAAGCGTCAAAAGGCTATGCAGTACGTATATCACGTTTGTTAACATATGCACACTGGAACTTATCACTGTATGTGCGAAAAAGAAAAAAAAAAAAACGCCGCGGAAGAAAAAAAATTTAACTTGGTATATGAACGCTGATCACGGTGACGTATCTGATGTCATTACAGCGGGTTTGTACTTCATTCCGTTCACGAAACTGAGTAATATATTAATAGCCCGCGACTGTCTCAAATTCCATTTTACTTCATAGGTGTTTTATCATTTAGAGGCCGAAATGTTACGAAGCAGACAGCCTCTTGTCCAGGGAGGGTTCGGACCACATCCCTTGGCCCAGACCACTTCCCTTGCCAAATCATTGATATGAATCTCATCTGTTCCCGATTGACGTCAGAGTTTACTCACAATGACCCATTTACTTGACACAGTTAAGCCCCAGACCTTGACCATTCCGTTATGGTCAGTCTAAATGTTTGTTTACATGTGTGCTTTACCTGTATGACTAAACCGATGACCGAGGCCGATAAACGCACTTATTTCCCTGTTGGTCAATCCCAATGTTTGAGCACTATAACCTTTGTATGAAAAAAAAATCGCGCCAAAAATCTGACTCAATAAACTGCCAGATTATTTCAATTCTATCACTCATCAAGCAAATGATACTGTGAAAAAAAGCGAAATAATCAGTGAACTAAATAAGACCCGGAAATACGGAAGTTTAGATAAAGTGGAGCGGGAAATCGCATGTGGCTATCAGAAAAAAATGTATAAAAGAGATCTCAGAACCGGTAAGTCGTTAGTAAAAAAAAAAACAGCAGTATGGGAAACGCGCAGTTTGTATCGTCGAGATTTGTCGCCGCAGCACTGACAGCGGCAGTTTGTGCAGTATGGGTAAGTACTAAAACTGGCTTAACTTCCCAGCTTATTTTTGAACCATAAGATTAATGGAAACCCTTTTGGACCACTTTCTTCTACCTTACGTGCACAAAAAGAAAAGAAAAACTAAGTTATGAGATGTGTGTATTTTTGCCTCACATTGCATCTTCTTACATTGTGAAAGCACAATATTACGCTTATTCAAACATACCTTTATGAAACATTTCAGCTTTTAGAAGTGTCACACGCAGCAACAATGGATGAACTAATCAAGATCGCAGCAAATAAAAGTAAATATCAACAGCTTTATCTATATTTTTCACCAACTTCGGTATGTAAAATTTCATGACGTGCTTTTCAAATAACGTACAACGTATATTCTACATTGCCTACTTTGTACAAATCCTTAGATGTATCCCGTTAAGGTGTCAATTACAACCTTAAGAATATTTCGATTTTTTATTGTTACTTTCGTTTTCGCATTTTACTAGGTAGAGCACTGGAGACTATACAAGATGACAGCGTTGTTCTACGTGAACTGGATATATTAATGCTAAAAGAAGATTTTCAAGCTCTCGAAAGAGCCAGGGAGGAAGAGTTTGGGTACGTAAGATTGTCGTACCGGAGGACAATTTAAATTTAATAACTTGTGCATTGTAAACATTTAGTATAAGGTGTGATTTTAATGATATCTTGTCAGAAGCAAAGTTATGGTTATAGAATGGGCTGTCATATCATGATATTCAGACTGGAGAAATAAATATCTAAAATACTTTTTCCATGAATTCACACACCAGCAGATATTACAGCCTTTTCTTTTTCCGTAAGAAAACGAAACAAGGAAGACCAAAATACCAAAGTGAATTGATGGAAAAAGTCATTTGTTTGTAAAGTGAGAAAAGCAGTTTTTGTCTGCCATTAAGGGTCGAAATGATATGCTTCACATGCAAAAAAGCGATTTTCTTTTTCGACAGCAAATTGCTATATTGAATGGCAAGACAAAGGGGCCTATATATCCTCTGCGATTTTCTTTTTCGACAGCAAATTGCTATATTGAATGGCAAGACAAAGGGCCTATATATCCTCTGCTGATTAAGTCCGTTTTTATATCTTAAGATTGTTGGACAAGGACGGTAACTATGAAGGGGAACGTGCCCGCAAGAAAAGGAAAGGAGTCAGAGATTTAGGACGCCGCTGGCCAAATGGTGTAGTCCCGTATACCATATCATCGGTGATGTGTAAGTACAACAGTTTGTATAAAAAGTAATTGAAATTTATCAAAATAAAATAAAATAAAATAAAATAAAATAAAATTACGCGAACACAGATAAAGCGCCTGTACGTTTGAATACAGGCTTCTTTCCAATGGTGGGTGGGGAAGGGGGGGGAGGGGCATAAGGATCGCAAAAGTAGACGTGGCCAGTTACAGTTTGATATGTAGGACAATTTGATATGTACATTTGTAAGACTTGAGGATGAACATACCGAATGAATGTAAGTGTTTTTCTTTCTTGTAACGCATGTTGTATATACTGTTTCTCTGGGAAAGAGAATGGGGAGGCACCTGCATAGCTACTGGCCGGGGGTGGGGGGGTGGGGGGTAGGGGGGATGCAGGTAACGTTGTCCCCTTTCTATCCGCCCTAGTATGAATTGAATTCAAATAAGAAAATTTTTAACAAAATGAATTAAAATCATTCATTCAACCATATTTACAGCTGCCTCAGATCGCAGAGCCATACAGCAGGCCTTGGATGACTGGAACAAATACACATGTATCCAATTCAGGCCACGACGAAATGAAAGGAACTACATTCATTTGGAAAACGGCAGCGGGTAAGAAAAAAGGAATTCATCCACTGAAAAATTAATTCTAAAACGTTTCATATTCGTATTATAAGTGCGATGGAATATTAGTAGACGCATGAGAATAAATAAAAACGAGTACATATAAATTAACTGGGAACATAATTTGAATATTTAAAGAAAATTCGTGGATATATTAATAGTTAATATGGAAAAATATATTATTCAGTTTTTAAGTTGGGTAAGTCTTGTAGTTTTCATTAAGTAAAAAAATAATAAAATACTTTTTTCAGCGCTGGGTTTTTGTAAAAGGATTGACACAACTTAGAGCATGTCATTAAGCATTTGGAATTTGATTTGAATAACGCTTCACAAAAAAAAAAAAAAACTATATGTAGGGGCCTGTTGGTGTAACTCTTTAATAATGAAAATGTTTGATGAGTTTTTTTCATTTATTTCTAGGTGTTCCTCTTTTGTCGGGATGTTAGGACGAGGACGCCAACTGGTTACCTTGGGACAAGGATGCAGATCTGTAAGTTTAGTTGTTTATGAAACCTCGTATTTATCCAGTTATTCCACATTGCGATCATTCATATCATTTAAAACTGTGATTATATTTCTTGTTGTTGTTGTTGGAAAGCCATGTAGGTTTATATGCACATGTAATTCAATAAAAATGAATAGAGTCAATAGGTTGAGCCATAAAATGAAATTTTACTGGTCTTCATTTGAACATTTGAATTGGCTAATATAGTAGGTGATGTGTCATTTTATTTCTCAACCTATTGACAACATGAGTACTATATCTTATTTCTAGCGATTATCTTTAGTTTTTGCCACTAGTTGAATAGCTTTAATATTCTGGCCATAAATAGCATTATTATTATTATTATTATTATTATTATTATTATTTTGCAGTTGAAACTCACGCGGTATTTATAATATTCAGAGAGCAACCATTCTTTACGATGAAAAGTTTACGTAACACCAAAATTTGCGCCCTCCTCAAAATTTATCAAAATATGTGCAAACTGTTCTTTATTATGTCTTTTAGAAAGGAATCATTATCCATGAATTGGGGCACGCGATAGGGTTCAACCACGAGCAGACGAGATATGACCGCGATAACTATGTCACCATCGTCAGAGGGAACATTCCAGGACATCTTTATTACAATTTCGAAAAATATCCGCAGTCTGTCACCAATACGCATGGCGTGCCGTACGATTACGACAGCGTCATGCATTATGGCCAATACGTAAGCTTTATTTTCTTTTTGGTTTCGTTTCTTATCCCGTTCTTCAACGTTTTTTTTTTTTTTCGGGGGTTTTTTGGGGGGAGGGGTTAACTTATTCTTCTTGTCCTTTTTTTTTTGCTGATCTTAGACCTGCCAGAATATAGTAACCCTTCAAGTAAATGTCATATTTTCAGGCATTTTCTACCAACGGACGTCCTACCATTATAACCAAGGATAAATCCAAGCAGAATACAATTGGAAACAGCTTCGGACACAGCTTCGGCGATGTTAAGTTGGCAAACGCCATGTACACTTGCGATCGTGAGTTTTCTCGATTTATTTTCTCCTTTTGTGCATATTCAAAGTCATTTGCGACAAGTAGTGATTATACTATTTCGAGATTTTTTTTTCAGTGTGTGCTTAATTAATTATATTTTATTACCCTTGTACAGGCTCGTAGAGTGCAAAGTTAAAATTTGGTGACCATTAAAGAAATTGTTAGTTTGATGTTAGTTTCATGATTATTTGAAAATCAGTCGGTCCGACAGCTATAAAGTAAGGTACATTTTTCTCTCAACTCTGTTACATTTGGAAATGTGTTTTATATCGCAGGCGGCTGCACGAACAAACCTAGATGTCCCTCCCCGGGATTCGTGGACAAGAATTGCCGCTGTATGTGCCCAGGAACTAACGGGGGTGTTCCTGTGCAACCCTGCGGTACCGGAGGTGGCACTGGGGGCGGAACTGGAGGCGGCACCGGGGGTGGAACCGGGGGAGGTACTGGCGGTGGCACTGGAGGCGGAACCGGGGGTGGAAACAGTAAGTTACTTGAATTTGCATTTGATAGCTTTACATATTTCTACCTAAAAATTGTAATCTTAATTAATTTACCTGTCGTTTTCTAAGTGCTTGTGCACACTTGTATATCTCATATGAAAAAATGGAACAAGAAATGGGCGATGCATCTTTTATTGGTTTGAATTTGAACTCCATGGTTACATTTGTCCGTTACAGACAACTGTCGGGATAACAACAACAATTGTGCAGGCTGGGCGTCAAGAGGCGAGTGTCAACGTAACCCTGGATACATGCACGTTTACTGTAAAGAGTCATGTCGTTTGTGTAACGGAGGAGGAGGAGGAGGAGGTAGGAGGCGATTTGTTTTCTTACCGTTATTTTAAGAAAAAAGTTTTTTCTCATTGTATAATAAAATATTTACATCAAGTTTATCTTTTCTACGGCGTGTAATCTCTTGTTTGTTAAATGAATGTCTTATATGGAGAGTTTAGACTTGGGGATTGGAATGAATTAATGAAAAACACATTATATTTCCATAATAAAACTAATTATGTTAAAAGCATTGAATTATATTTCTGGTCGCAGCCAAACAGCCCGTAATATCCTTCTTCTCAAAGCAAAGCTTATTATATGTGTTCTTTATCAAGTGGCCTTAAGAATGGCTGCTCTGTTGTCCAATCTGGCCAAAACATCGTCACTCTTTTCTTACTTCTACTTTCCAGGAAGTAGCAGTTGTGTTGACTACGACACATACTGTGCCACTTGGGCAGCACGTGGCGAGTGCTCTCGTAACCCCCGGTATATGATCCCTTACTGCCCAAAATCCTGCAATAGATGCTCTGGAGGTACAGTCACGAATTTCTTCTTTGCTTTGCTAATAATGCAAAGCATATCAGGCTTACTTTTTATGAACTTGTACCTTTTCAAAGTCCATGAAGGCGTTACTATAAAATGATATTTAATTGGATTCCTGATAATTCTTAAAGATGTCTCGTCCGTGAAATATTAAACAATCTAACTAGGTATGTCTAACTTTGTTTGTGAATTCTACTTTATTTCATGATTTTTCAGGTAAATGCGTTGACAATAACGTTCTCTGCGATCAATGGGCGAAGAGGGGGGAGTGCGCCAAGAACCCAAATTACATGCTCGTAAATTGTCAACGTGCGTGTGGCGAGTGCTCGTAATTACCGATGCAGAGTTCTCCGTGACCCCATTTCATGGGTTATTTTATTTTTATACAGAAAGAGTTTAATTTAATTTAGCTTCGATTAGTTTGTGGCTAAAATGACATGCGCAATATCTTATATTATCTTAATTTATTTTATTTTTTCAATTAGATGTTTTAAATTCTGAACCAACATTTTGTTTAACAGGAAAAGCTCTCAGAGAGCGCAGACCTCCGCCAAGGTAACTGAATTCTCACCTTTATTTATTATTTAATAACTAAATAATTAGGTGTGTTCTCATTTTTGATTAATTAATTTATCAATCAACGAGTAAATAAACTCATTGGCTGAATAACTAATTAATCAATTACTACCAAAAATTTGGCCCATGCATCAACATTTCGTCAAAATCCGTCCATAACATTTTGCATCATGCTGCTTACAAACTTTATTAATTAAATTAAATCAACTTTATTAATTAAACTAATTAATTAAATTAAATTAAATTAAATTAAATTAAATCAATGAGTGGATCAACACCAAAATCATTTTATTTGTTACATGGTCCACTTCCGAAACTATCGGAAAATTTCATCAAAATCCGTGCACAACTTTTTCCAAAATCTTTCTTACAGTCAGAAAAATAATTAACTAACGATTAACCATTTTTTTGAGAAATGGATCGCCGCCAAAATCTTATAGTTACTGGTCCACTTTCGAAAGTTTTTGAAAATTTCATTCAAATCAGTCCACACATTTTTCCAAGGCCTTGCTAAGTAACAAACCTATAAAGGGATAAACGGGACGAAAAACACAATCTTCTTGGCGGAGATGATTATTATAAGAAGTACTTATATAGGTCAGAGTAAAGTGTAACTTGGAAATATGAGGGATGCCATTTTCCATTTCAATAAAACTTTTAGATCAGAGAGGACACCTATAAGTCCATTAAAATATATGAAATATGCAGTAAGTTGTCACCATTGATTGAAAACAGATATTTCGACTACTAGCCTTCTGCCTTATATTTCGAATCAGATTCTCATTATTATGTAATAATTTCTAATAACTTATTTCCAATGATGTTGAAATCTGTAAGCACTAAGCCAATTTGATTAATAAAATTTGATTTTTTGTCGAATTCCAGTGTTATTTATTCTTTTTTATACAGGAATTCAAACTTTATCATATGAACAATTTTCACAGTTAGATGAAGGCAAGAATCTTATTTGTCTCGTTTTATTTCATTTTAATGTAACACTAAGACATAAGTGATGGCGCACAAAACGAAGACAACCAATGAAAATAGTTACCATGGAGCGTGTAAATACTTTTATTTTTTATTGTTTCTTGTCCGTTTTATGAGCAAACGCCTTATTCTTACGGCATACTACATTACAATAAGAATGAAAAGCAGGGCAAGTAAAGATTACTGTATATGTGCGCACGCAGGTTATTACGTCGCTCATTCTTCTTTGTTACGTGAAAATGATACATACGTTACCATAAAGCGTGTAAATGCTTTTTTATTCTATTTTCATTGGTTGTCTTTCCTTTTGTGCGTCAACATTATTTTAATGAAACACAAATAAAAGACATAAGTGTTGGCCCACAAAGCGAAAGAAAACCAATGAAAATAGAATAATTAGTTACACGTTTCATGGAAAAGTATGTATTGGTAACGTATGTATCATTTTTACGTAACAAAGAAGAATGAGCGACGTAATAACATGCGTGCGCACATATACAACGTCGCACGCAACCACAGAGTCGCGACAAAAGAGAACAAACAATGAAATCAAAAAACAACACCTTCATATTATTTGGTTACGAACATATCGGTAACGTATGAATCAGACGAATAATTTTCACAGATAGTTGCAGGTAAGAAATATTTTTTGTCTCGTTTTCTTTCATTTCAATGTCACATTAAGGCATACGTGTTGGCCCACAAAACGAAAGACAACCAATGATAACAGAATAAATAAATATTTACACGCTTCGTGGTAACGTATAATTCGGTAACGTATGTCTCAAATTAACGTAAGAAAGAAGAAAGAGCGCCGTAAAAGCATGCGTGCTCACATATACAAAGTCACACGCACTCACAAAGTCATGGAAACATAGAACAATCAATGAAATAAGAAAATAACATCTTCATATTTTTGTTCACGTATGTATCAGTAATTATGTATCATATGAACAATTTTCACCGATAGTTGAAGGCAAGAAAACTAAATTTTATCGATTTCTTTTATTGTAATGTAACATTAAGACATAAGTGAAGGTGCAGTAAACGAAAGACAACCAATAAAAATAGTTACCATGGAGCGTGTAAATACTTTTATTTTTATTGTTTCTTGTCCGTTTTATGAGCAAACGCCTTATTCTTACGGCATACTACATTAAAATAAGAAGGAAAAGCAGGGCAAGCAAAGATTACTTGACTTGAAACCGTTTGTTCAAATTGTTTATATAATACATACGTTAGAGAATAACGTGAAGGTATTGTTTTCTGATTCCATTGTTTGTTCTCTGTTGTCGCGACTCTGTGGTTACGTGCGACGTTGTATATGTGCGCACGCAGGTTATTACGTCGCTCATTCTTCTTTGTTACGTGAAAATGATACAAACGTTACCATAATGCGTGTAAATGTTTTTTATTCTATTTTCATTGGTTGTCTTTCCTTTTGTGCGTCAACATTATTTTAATGAAACACAAATAAAAGACATAAGTGTTGGCCCACAAAGCGAAAGAAAACCAATGAAAATAGAATAATTATTTACACGTTTCATGGAAAAGTATGTATTGGTAACGTATGTATCATTTTAACGTAACAAAGAAGAATGAGTGACGTAATAACAAGCGTGCGCACATATACAACGTCGCACGCAACCACAGAGTCGCGACAAGAGAGAAAAAACAATGAAATCAAAAAACAACACCTTCATATTATTTGGTTACGAACATATCGGTAACGTATGAATCAGATGAATAATTTTCACAGACAGTTGAAGGTTAGAAATATTTTTTGTCTCGTTTTCTTTCATTTTAATGTCACATTAAGGCATATGTGTTGGCCCACAAAACGAAAGACAACCAATGATAATAGAATAAATAAATATTTACACGCTTCGTGGTAACGTATATATTGGTAACGTATGTTTCAAATTAACGTAAGAAAGAAGAAAGAGCGCCGTAAAAGCATGCGTGCTCAAATATACAAAGTCACACGCACTCACAAAGTCATGGAAACATAGAACAATCAATGAAATAAGAAAATAACATCTTCATATTTTTGTTCACGTATGTATCAGTAATTATGTATCATATGAACAATTTTCACCGATAGTTGAAGGCAAGAAAACTAAATTTTATCGATTTCTTTTATTGTAATGTAACATTAAGACATAAGTGAAGGTGCAGTAAACGAAAGACAACCAATAAAAATAGTTACCATGGAGCGTGTAAATACTTTTATTTTTATTGTTTCTTGTCCGTTTTATGAGCAAACGCCTTATTCTTACGGCATACTACATTAAAATAAGAAGGAAAAGCAGGGCAAGCAAAGATTACTTGACTTGAAACCGTTTGTTCAAATTGTTTATATAATACATACGTTAGAGAATAACGTGAAGGTATTGTTTTCTGATTTCATTGTTTGTTCTCTGCTGTCGCAACTCTGTGGTTGCGTGCGACGTTGTATATGTGCGCACGCAGGTTATTACGTCGCTCATTCTTCTTTGTTACGTGAAAATGATACATACGTTACCATAAAGCGTGTAAATGTTTTCAGTGGTTGTCTTTCATTTTGTACTTCAACATTATTTTAATGAAACACAAATAAATGACATTAGTGTTGGCCCACAAAACGAAAGAAATCCAATGAAAATAGAATAATTATTTACACGTTGCATGGAAAATTATGTATTGGTAACGTACCGGTATGTATCATTTTAACGTAACAAAGAAGAATGAGTGACGTAATAACAAGCGTGCGCACACATACAACGTCGCACGCAACCACAGAGTCGCGACAAGAGAGAACAAACAATGAAATCAAAAAACAACACCTTCATATTATTTGGTTACGAACATATCGGTAACGTATGAATGAAATGAAAAATTTTCACAGATAGTTCAAGGTAAGAAAGTCTCGTTTTTTTTTCATTTTAATGTCACATTAAGGCATAAGTGTTGGCCCACAAAACGAAAGACAACCAATGAAAATAGAATAAATAAATATTTACACGCTTCGTAGTAACGTATATATCGGTAACGTATGTCTCAAATTAACGTAATAAAGAAGAAAATTTATTTGTGTTTCATTAAAATAATGTTGACGCGCAAAATGAAAGACAACCAATGAAAACAGAATAAAAAACATTTACACGCTTTATGGTAACGTATGTATCATTTTCACGTAACAATGGAGGTGTTGTTTTCTGATTTCATTGTTTGTTCTCTGTTATTGCGACTCTGTGGTTAAGTGCGACGTTGTATATGTGCGCACGAAGGTTATTACGTCGCTCATTCTTCTTTGTTACGTGAAAATGATACATACACTGTAAAAACAGTGTTTAGCATTTAAATACATACAACACACGTTAGGCACCTATACGCATTTAGAAATCTGTGTAAATGCTAAACGCGTATAGCTTTTCAAGCGTTTCACAGAAGAAAAAACTAGACACGTTGGCATTGTTACACGTTTAGCTATGTGTTTAGCTTCACCGGCATATGATTCTATAACAAGTCTATCACAAGCTAAGCACATTGGCTAAGCACTTCCTCTGCTAAGCGCGTGAGGCTGCTAAACATATGGAGCTGCTATAGGTGTGGAATTCCTTAACGCGTGGAGCTGCTAAACAACATGTTTAGCTTTTCAAGCTCGTCACAAAAAAAAAAAAAAAGTTTCACAATCCCATGTATACGATCCCATAGAAACATATGGGGCTGTTGGAGGCGAGAGGCAGCCTGCTCGAACGCGTTGTGTCCTTCCTTGCAGTAACGTGTGATTATTTAAAATAGGCCTATAAAGTAATAATCCAAATAACAAATAACGTTTTCACGACGTTATCAGCTAGTTACATGATGGTGATGGTATAGAATAACGTCATGGTAACGTTATGGGTGTTTTTAACTCCATGCAAAATGATGCCCTTGCAGTTTTATAAGCGTTTTATAACATTCTGGAAAAAACATTATTTAATGTTTTGAAAACCTTTTTTATAAATCACCAAAACACGTCTTATGCTGTATGAACTACAGTTAGCGGTTAATTCCAAAATGGGCTTGGGTTAGTCGGCGACTAGAGCGGTGCGATTTGTAAAATATTCGGACTATCGTTACCAAAATAACCAGCATGTGATGAAAGCTTATATAAACCATTATAATGAATACCCCACCATCATCCTGATGTTCTATTGTTCATTACTTC